AAAGTGACTATGACCTGGACCTGTAAGAGTGGTAGGAACTGGCAGGACTGCGAATTCTGGTGGATAGAGGTCACCACTGAATTCCCCTGAACACCTAGCCTTCAAGAAAGTCAGTTACCCCATTTAAAAGTAAATCTGTCCATTTTAAAGTTTCTAAAACTAAAGGTTCCATCTAAGCGCACATAACACAGCAATTTGGCTAGGCAAAAAAGACTCCCTTTCACCTCTAATCCTGGTGTCATGGCAGTGATCAACTTACCTATTATTTTTAACTGTCCACCTGTTATGTCAGTGTCCAATGAAAGCACCTTTCCAGCCAATAAGAATGTTCTTTATAGACAGAAAGGTGGTGAGTGGGCACCAAAGTTTTAGAAAGCAAGTAGTTGATGCCAAAAAGAAACCAAGATCGGAAAAGCACAGAAAAATTACTTTTAAAGGTTTAAAATGGTTAAAAAAAAAGGAGATGCCCATCAATCCGAGTATAAAATAATGGTCTCTGAAAATGGCATCATAATAAGAGTGGGTAAACATTGGTATTATATGAGCTATACAACATTCCTTTTTGTGCCAGGCTGAAAATAAATAGAATCCTGGTGCAAATAGCCCACAAACCCATTATTCTGTATGTTTCCTCACTTTTCAAAGCCCAAAAAGCTAACACCGGTTTTAAATTAAAACCACATCCCATTGAGTAAAGGCTTAGGGGTCTGCATGAGCTGCAGTGAAGTGTCCTAATACATCAAATCAGGGCCACAGTTGGTCACATGGATTGAGGTCTGATTGTAGAATCTCCTGTAGATTTACCAACAACAACATTGATGGAGAGTCCACATAAATGAATATAACTTTTTACAATTGTTGCAAAACTGAAAAATGATCACTTTTCAGTCTTTTAAAATGATGGCACAAGTCAAACATTTAAAGATCTTTCCATTTATTAGAGCTAAAATAAATCATCCAGCAGCTCTTGGCCAGCTTTCTGATCCATTAGTTGCTCTTCATTTCCACCTAGTGGTTAAATATGTTATGGCCGAATTCCAACTGGATCCAGCTAGCTAATGATCAGAGCCTTAGAGTTGAATTAACGAACAGCAAAAACAATGCTTTTGTTGTGCCATTTCTAGAATGTGCCAGAGCAAAATATTGCTAAATAAAAAAAAATTAAAAAAATTTCAATACCTATTTAGGCATACCAGCAGCAAAAAATGACAGGAGCAGTTTTACATAAAGCAAAGGCTAAAGTACTGATGGAAGCCGTCACCTGAGGCCTTCCAGTTGCTGGGGAATCACAAGTCCCAGCACGGTCTAAACTTTCAGGCAACAGCTAGTGCCTTCACTGATTGTTTTGAATGTTTACATCAACTAATGTTAGTAGGCCTAAAGATGATGTAGATATTTACTGGATGACATTTATGCGCTTCATATACAATTGCCATTTTAATAAAATGCTTGTTTTGTCTATTTTCACCCTTTGCTGATCTCCTGCAGTTTCCTTGCAGCTACTGCGTGTCTGCATACATGCACTCCAGCACTGGCATGATGGTATGAGCGTTGAAAAGGCCACTTGAAGTCTGCACTGGAAGCTTTTATTACAGGGTGACAATGAATGAGCACTACTGGGAGACAGAGCATTGTCACCCTATAATAGGAAGTGCCTGAAAAAAGGATCACCAAGGATTATTTTAAATGAAAGCTGTAAAATTAGGACCCATTCACAATTCTGCATTACAGCAATGTGGTAAATCTCGTGTTTTACTGTGGTCCGTTGGGAGTATTAATAATTTTGAATGACACCCCAAAACTCTATTATAGTAGTGGGCAACACACGTGCAGTGAAGCGCATTACAATGCACAGACAGTGAGGTGCCGTGGGTTGTGTTATAGAACGGTGCATGTCACATATTCCGTGCATTAGGGGGTGTGCTGCCACCCTTTTCAAAACAAATGGATTTGCCTTCAAGCAGAACACCTTGAAACATGGTACCATGTTGGGTTTATACAATACATCGTGTAAAGGGGGCCTTGAAAAAACATTTATATCAAATATCTTAAAATTACATTGACATGTTAAAGTTTGTGTGAGATTTTAGTGATTGGGTTCATTTCCTTGGGTGGTTCCCATGACATGGAATGCAAACTGACAAAAAAATTAAATACTCCTCTGTCAAAAGGTTAAAGTGATCCTGAAACCTTTACAATATACAGTGTGAGATGCATCAACTAATAACATGCATAACAGGAAAACTTGGGGGTGGGTTGACAAATGAAAAATAGCACTCACTTGAAACCACTCCGTCTTTGCTGACACCCTAATCAGAGTACTATGTACATCAATGAATAACAATATGTCCCCTCAAACCTTAGCATTTCTGATTTTTTTCTGATTGCAGAACTCTTTCAACATAAATAGAGTTAAAGTGTATTAGTTTTCAGCATAAAAAAAAAACACTTGCTCGTTTTAAGACTCAAAGCCAGATAACTGCAGTATGAACAGGTTTGAGACTTTTTTTTTTTAATATTCTGCTCCCCCTGGTTGGACAAACCATTGAATTCAAATATGCAATACACAAATTAACAATTTAAAAAAAGGAGACATGCCCTTTCATTAACAAAAGTGCCAAGAGGAGGAGAGCCAAGTCACATGACCTGTCATGTGACTGGCCTTTTCCTCCCGAAAAGCAACAATGGCAGCCACTTTCATCTATTGAAGCTAGCAAAAAGAGGAAGATTAATATGCGCAGGGCAATATACAAACAGTACAAAAGATCCCTGGAACACGTGCAAGTTAGGCAGTAGTTAGAATGTTTCAACTACTCAAGGTTTTTACTGCATAGAATTGCAAATATACATGGAAGCCACACTACCACTAGGGCTGCAACAACTAATTCACTAAATCGATAATCGATTACGAGAATAGTTGGCAACTATTCTCATCATCGATTAGTTGGTTGGGGAAGGGGGGGGGGTATATAATTTTTATACAACCAATCGATTAGTTGAAAAAGAATAGGGCAACTAATTGATTATGAAAATAATCGTTAGCTGCAGCCCTAACTGCCACATCAGGGCACCTCTGATAAGTGTAATCTCTTTGGTATGTTCCCAACTGGGACATATATGGCAATGCACAAACAGAAAGCAGGGTCACCTGGAACCACATAAGAGAGGTCATCAAGTTAGCCTGCCCTCTGCTTGTGCATTACTGTATTTCATATTCCAAATAGTTGGGAACCCAGATAGTTTAGAGTTAGGGACCACACTTTTCAAAGGTTCTCTGAAGCTTCAGTGTGGTTTCCACTAGAGCTGCAGCTAACGATTATTTTCAAAATCGATTAGTTCGCCGATTATTAAGTTCGATTAATCGGTTAATCGGATAAACAATAAAATACATTTTAAAAAATGGCTCCAGTGATGGGACTACTAGTTTGTATTGAGATTGCAGTCCATCACAGGAGCAAGCTTTGGAGAGGTGGAAGTAAAAAAAAAAGTGTGGTGTGCAATATAGTGAAATGGAAAGTTTATGATTATACAGCAATCAATGCAGAATGGGACCGGCTATAGAGGACTACAAATCCCAGCAATAGTACATTTTACAGCGCAATGCAGAATATCACTCTATAGCTAGTGATATTCGGCATTGCACCACTGTATAAAGTATTACTGCTGGGATTTGTAGTGCTCCTCTATAGCTGGTGGAATTCCGCATGGCGCTGTATAATGTATTATTGCTGGGATTTGTAGTCCTCTATGCAGTGCAGAATATCACCAACTATAGAGGAGTACAACAAATCAAAGCAATACATTATACATACAGTGTATAATGTATTACTGGGATTTGTATTCCCATGTATAATATACAGCACAATGTACCATCAGCTATAGAGGAATACAAATCCCAGCAATACATTATAGAGCACCATGTGTGGGAAAGTGCAGGCTTACCTGAGCAGTCTTCCAGCAACTTGCTTCTGAGATCGGGCCTGTCTGTCGGCGGCTGTCATCCCCCCACACCTCCTCCTCCTTACTACATCTCCCCGCGTCCCTGTGCCGATCGTGGATGTGGGCGGGTGGTGAGTGTGAGGCGGGAAGGAGGTGTGGCGTGTAGAGCGTTGATGCGGGCGAGTCTGGCAGCGGTGAGCGTGAGTTGGGGAGGAGGTGCGGCTCGCAGCGAGTGTTGACAACTTTTTCAATAATCGATTATAATCGATTATGTCGATTAGTTGTTGCAGCCCTAGTTTCCACGTGCATTTGCAAATATATGAAGGTAAAACCTCTATTTTTAACCTGAGTAGTTTAGTTATGTGTTTTACTAGCTAGCTTGGAAGCGTGTCGGGGACCTTTTGTATCATTGCCCTTTTCGTCTAGCCACAAAGGGTTCTCTGCGACGTACCTTTGACAGGTAAATCCTTTCACTCTTATGAGAGATTACTCTGATAAACACTGCAAGCTCCCCATTGTGGCCTGTCTATAACGAATGACTCAAATGCAGGGACAGTGTGGTGTAAACACTGCGTTTTCCTGAGGATAGAGGTATCCACTCTTTATTATAAGAGGCCCCTCAGTATGATAAAGTGATAAGTATACACAAAAGAATCAATTTCCTAAGCTAATGTGTGTGCATTATTTCCTGTAAGGATCAATATTTACAGTAAATCTTATTTACATTTGCTGTATATAATGATTATGACAAATAAGGCATGAGATATAATAACTTTGAAATTGACCCTAAAGACTGAGAGAAGAAAACCAAAAAATTATGCACATGGTAATTACTTGATAGGTTGATTAACCCCTTCGTGACTGACGACGTACAGTGTACGTAGCTTTTCATAATGCTCACACTTATACAAAGCCACAATGGACTCATATTGATCACTTTTGGTGACTTGTGCTGAACAAGCAAAATAGACTCCGAAACCTCCAACTCCAAAACTGAAATCTGTGTTAAAGAATATGTTGGTGTGCCACTTTAAATTCTAGCCATTTATAATTAAACTTACTCTTCATCGTGCCGTCCTCTTCTTCCTCTTCCTCTTCCTCATCACTGTTTATAACCATGGTCCCCAAATCTGATTCCAGCATGGTGCTATTATGTTCAATCATGGTCTGAGCTCCTTCGCTCATTGTGCTAGCCGCTCTCATAGTTCCCGCACTCTCAGAACTGGTCTTGACCATTGTGTGAGAGTCCAACTCGTCCTCTTCCTAGACAAAGAGAAGACAGGAACACAAGGAGTTACTAAAGTCCAATTCCCTGAATAGTCATCATGGAAACACTTTGAAATATTATACCCAGAGAATAAAGATCAGTTTATATAAATTTATTTCCCCCGTAACCACATCACAAAAACCTCAAATTGACATAAATACTAAATGTCCCAGGCTGGAAAACTGGATGAACTTTAACCACACATTTTATTAGTTTGACTACTTTTCTGGGTCATAATTTACAATTAAAGTGCAGCAAAGACAGTAGGGTTGGAGGGAAACAACAGGAGGCACCTTTGTGCTGCAAACATGAAGTGTGATGTCAATTTATAGACGCTGCCATATTTTACTACTCTCTCATCCACAGAAAAAACAAGCAAGTCATTTTTAGTAACAGAAAGATCTGCTCAGCAGATGCTGGGGGAATTGTTGAAAAGAACAGATTCCAGCTTTGGATACAACAGCATTTCCAATCAGTGGCAGTAATGTTCCTGGAATGCACAGCCGAACTGATGATAATCCAGTGTATGATTCATAAACCCCATATGGAGCACAAATATTTAAAAACAAAAGGAAAAGACATCGCTTCTCCCACAATTTGTTTTATGTATAAGGGACCATGGACGTTACAGTTATGACAAATACAGTAGTATCCACACACAAAACACGGCAACAACATCTAGGGCTAGTCCAAGAAACATACAAAGAGATCAACGTTAAGCAACCATTTGGAGGCCTTATATTTGGCCCACTGCACAGGATATGTTCTTTTTTTTTCAGCACTGGCAACAAAAGAAAAAAGGTGCAGAAAAGATACAGTAATCCTTTTAAGCTGGCTATACATGTGGGAAATCGCAAATATAATCTGACGTAAACGTGAGAAACTCAGCAAGCTACCACCCACGAACATAACCGGCTGGAGGAATTGAGCACAGTACCCAAAATGGGCCGTTATTGCTCGAATGCTGCTTTCATTTTTTTTTCCCAATTAGCATTAAAATTTCTGTGTATGAAGTTTGAATGACAGCTTCAGCACAAGGACAAGTTGAAGGAAAATTACAAACAAATTGAAATGGAATCTAAAAAGGAAAAAAAAGCTATAGCAATCTCATAGAAAGCAATCTGCTTTTTCCGCCAAGCTTGGTCGGGGTAATTTAGATTGCATATCTTTGTGGTTGAGCCAAACCACCATTTTATGATTTATATTGGTTTGTGATTGTAACACCACATACATTTGCTTGAAGCAGAAGTAGTGAGAGAGTAATATATACTATTCAGAATACTAGGAGCCAGTGTGGCCAGCTGTCGCACGCTGGCTCTCCAGATCGAGAGCTAAATGATTGCTCAGCTCACGGCTTCTACCTGCAGAGAACAGTAACGGTCAGTCACCACTCCACGCAGGGATTCGCCCTTCCCTCTACGTTCCTCCAGAGCTCATTGGAGGGACGGACGGGGACAGGGCAGACACAGCTGGCACTGTATCTGGATCTAGAGAGGCAGAGTCAGATGTCAGACAGCAGGGTGGATCCCGACAATATTGTTAGGATCCGTCCCAGCTGCAGTGCGGCTCTGCGCTGTTCGCATATACCAAACAGTAACCCAATATGTGCTGACTTTAGGCCCCAGGAGTACATTAGTAAATAAGCCCTCACAAGCAGGGCCCTCCTACCTCCTGCACTGAAATTGGATTGTTAACTGTATTGTCTCCCTTAGTTTTAAAAAAGCGCTGCGCAAATTGTGGGCGCTATATAAATCCTGTAATATAATACATTTACTAATTTAAAAAAGAGAAAGACGTTTAGCTGTACTTTTCTTCTAAAGCAAAAACTTCCTCCAAAACCTTTTCCCCCAGTTTTTGATAGTATGGGGAAGGTCAGAACTGTTTTAATGCCGTCTGTCCCCTCACCTCTGGGGGTAAAGAGGACAGGCAGTAAAGAGAAACTCCAACTAGGACACATAAAGCAATAAAATCACTTTGATTAGGATTGTGGAGAAGCACCAGAAACGGTAAAGTTTAGCTTGCTGTCTATGTTCTATTGGGGATAATTTGAGGTCTACATTGAAACATGTGATACTTGATGATCGCACACGCCTGCCTTTTCCTAGGCAGTATTTGGGGGTACTTGGCTGATGCTTAAAGGAGAACTATGAGAGGAGTGATTTCCACTCACCTCATAGTTCTGGCCGACAAATTTACCCTCTTTCATCACTTATGTAAATGATGCTAAAGACACCGTCATGGATGTCACATCATACTGCCATTCTGGATGCAACTGTGCTTTGTTGAAATCTTTTTTATAGAGTATCTACATGCAGAAACAAAAATGTCATAAATCACAGCATGCTAGTCCTTAGATGTGGTCCTAATGCACAGGGAGTGTGTTCAGACTACAGAACACCCTCCTCTGTTTATCTCCATAACATAAGGGAGAGGAGTTCTGTATTCCACAAGGAGAACCGGGAATAATACTAGGTGATGACAGTTAGCTCCGGCAGAGAGCACAAGGTGTTTTCAAGTCACAAGATGTCTGACAGGATCAACAGTTTTTAGATTTTTTTTGCACTAACCAAACAGCTAGAGCATAAGACTTTTAAAGTGTTGGATATTTCTGATTGTTTATGGAAACTTTTCCTCAAATGTGTAGTATAGCTTTTGTATGCACAATTGTACGCTCTGTTACTAGTAAAGTTATATTTCTGTACTGTTAGGAACTCAGTGCTCCCATTTACTTATTTTGGGTAGCTGCTATTCCTCATTTCTCAAAGCCAGCTTTGTTGCAAGCACGATTGTCACATAGCAAGGTGCGCTGTTCCAAGGTAGGTTGACCTTCAGTCAATACGCAACCAGGAAATATTGTGCCTCTGACATAACCTGGCAGGAAACAAAAAATCTGCTTAGTGCACTGGAAGGGCCAGAGAATGAATAGGTCATGAAAGGTTCATACTAGTCCTTTGTGGCACTTTAGTATCCTTTTTTGCAATTATTTTTATTACAACCTTATCTATTCTTTTCAATTCCCATTTGCCTATCAGCTGTCCTGTCCCTCTCTTTTGACATTGCCCAAGTGCATTCTGCGCTGACCATAGGTAGTTTACAGCAGTGGTGGTCTGTGGTCTTGTCTGCAGTGGCACAGCAGAGGTGGAGTAAAGGCTTGGCATCCTTTCCTTGGGACCATGCGACCTACTGGTTGCACACAGGGTGAACAGCAAATAAATCAAATGCATGCATGAGCTACTAACAGATTTTTCTATTCATTCAAATTGACCAAAATGAAGAAGCATGGGAAGTGTGACATGTAGCTGTCCACACCAAACAGACACTTCAGGGTTTAACTGCATTAAAAATCAAAAAGATGAAATGAATAACCCATTAAAAGATAATATACCAAAACCATTTTTTGCTGCAATAGTCCGCTTTAATCCACAGATTTCCCTCACAGTACTTTTTTTCTTCTGCTGCTAGATGTCCTCAGATAGCCAAATTTGTTTAACTCGCTTCCTCTGGCCCAGCCCTAGCTTGTGACTGGACAGAGAAAGACGAAACAGCATAGTAATGAGCTCGTCTCTGTCACTCTGCTTTCTCCTCTTATCAGCATACTTTATGTCAGCACATGAACTGATTGGCTCTTTGTACTGCATCTTCCTTTCACTCTTCTGCCCTGCTGTACAGGGACTGCAAGATGCTGATACCAGGTCAAATGCAGATACATACAATGCTTGAATTTAAAAAATACGTTTAATGATGTTATAAGGATTACAGAGCTACATTAAATATCTGCGTGGAGTTAAAGGAGAACTATGGGGTTAGGGCTTTTCCCCATAGTTCTCCTTAGGGTAAAGGGAGGACACAAACTAGCATCCTCCCGTCACCCTAAGCTCAGTATACCGCGAGCTACAGCTCGCGGTATACTGAGACGCCGCAGCGGATCCCGACAATTATGTCTGGATCCACCCAGCTGCGTGAGTGACAGCTGGCTCTGCCTATCTAGAGGCAGAGCTAGCTGTACCTGCCCCCTCTGCCGTCCTTTCCGCCAGTAAGCGCTGGCGGATCGGAGCGTGGAGGGGGGAATCCAGCCCCTCCCCTGTCACGGCAGAGAGCCATGACAGGATCGAGATGTGAGCGAACGCCGATATGTGTTCGCTCACCTCCCGATCTACTGAGCCGACCTGTGACAGTCTCATTGTCACAGGTCACCTAGAACTATGAGGTGAGTGGAAATCACTCACCTCATAGTTCTCCTTTAAGCTTTCCTGTGCTTCTAACACAGTAAACAGAGGCTAAAATGTACCACTAGTTCCCAGTTGTGTAACCTTTACTATCTCTAGCACTCCACAAACATCTCTATGATTAACCCTTGGTAGGTGAAACGCATGAGAGCATCTGGGGAGCACAGTAATAAAGTGTGGATTCAAGTTAGAAGATCTATGGAGTGCGGCTTCTGTTTGTACCAGCTTTACTATCTTCAGAATACAGATTTAAAATGTAAAGGTGTGATAGGAAACATCAATAAGCTAAAAGACACGTTATTTTCTCCAGCCAGAGTTGTAAGAAATCTGCGTTTCTCTCCATACAGCAATCTGCATACTATAACACTAGTGGTAGTACAAATTGACATGCCGCCTGTGACACAGCAAACTCTTGAGAGGGATTAGGCTGCAGTAATGAGTACAACATGTAATATTTCATTTGTTGTACAGGGCAAACACAACTTCTTAGCAGCATATTTCAATAACAGTTATATGAAAAGACAGCCAGCAATTAACAATGGATTAAACAGTAAAGTTTAGCTAGAATTCTCCTCTTATCTGCATTGTTTCACAATAGATGATGCGGCCCAACTGGCAGAATGTTGCTGTTTGTCAGATGGTCCCAATTAGCTCAACTCGATGACCGTTTGTGATATCCTAATTACTTTTACAGCGTGTTCCTGCTTGTCCATGAGCTCTGATTCTCTTCCATGTCATGGAAGCAGAATTCTCTCAGAGTAAAAACAGAG